CCTCTCGTCCTCCTCCCCTGTCTGCCACCCCCACATCCTGGGATGGGTTTGGTCAGTTCCTCCCGTAGATAAAATCTAGGCTCTGAGCCTGGATCTCCCAGCCAGCCCTAAACACCATCCCCTGGGGAGAGTGGGTGCGGCTGACTTCATCCCACCAGCAGGCTCTGGGCCAGCCCCTCTGCTCTGGAGATGCAGCTGGGTCTGGCTCCTCAGAGCAGGGATGCACAGCAAAGAAGGGCAGCTTCCTGCTGGCCTCGTCACTGGAAGCCTGGTGCAAGGCCCAGGCCACCAGGGTCCGAACACAGGGAAAGCTGAATGAAGTTGTGAAGAGGCGGGCAGGGCGATGGATGAGCCCAGGCCAGTCCTCTCACAGACCTGCCCGTGACAGGACAGCAGGCGAGCCGCTGTGTACCTGTAGTGAAGGAGGCCTGCCTGCAGGTCCGTCTGTTACTGGATGCAGGGGAGGGATTATGAAGCTTCCTCTGAGGGAGTGACTATCTCCTGTATTTGCTTTAAAAGTTTGTTGTTGTTGTTTTAATTCCTGGCACCTGTTTATCATGCCTGATTTTTGCCCTAATCTATCCTGCCTTACCTCTGCTGCCCTTAGCAAATCAACCGTGAACCCACTGGACAAGCTCTCCACATCCAGCAGTGAATAAATAACTGCTCTAATCCAGCTTGAGGCCAGCTGCTGGTGCAGAGGAGCCCTCAGCGCCCCCTCCCTCCCCCTTACAGCTGCCACTCCCAGTCCTTAGGGTCTAGAAAGGTGGGCAGGACCAGCTGGACATCTTGAAGCCCGGTTCCCACCCATCTTACCCACCTCCCTTTCTTTTTTTTCTTTTGTCGGTCATGAGGCTTGAAGTCTGGGCCTAGCCACTGTCCCTGAGCTCTAGCTCAAGGCAAGCACTCTACCACTTGAGTCACAATGCCACTTCCGGTTTCCTGGTGGTTAATTGGAGATTGGAGTCTCATGGACTTCCCTTGCCCAGGCTGGCTTTGAACCACAACCCTCAGATCTCAGCCTCCTGAGTAGCTAGAATTACAGGTATGAGCCACTGGCACTCGGCTTCCTTTTTTTTTTCTCCCCGGTGCCAGTCTTGAAGCTTGAACTCAGGGCCTGGGCACTTTCTCTGAGCTTCTTATGCTCACTGCTAGTGCTCTACCACTTGAGCCACAACTCCATATGCAGCTTTTTTTGTAGGTTAGTGAAGTCTCAGAGACTTTTCTGTGCAGGTTGGCTTCAAACCTTGAGACTGAGATCTCAGCCTCCTGAGTAGCTAGGATTACAGGTGTGAGCCACCAGCAAGCACCTGGCTTAGTTTCCCCTGTTTATCAAGCATAGGAGACAGTATGTCTGCCAGGTGTTTTCCCCTCCTCCCTCCAGGACCAGGCCCATGAGGAATGATGGGTGTTGGGAAGGGCTGGGCCTGGCCCACCGCTGTCTGGGCAGCTCTGCTGCAGTGAAAACAGTACATTTATGGGCTCAGCAAGGGGGCACTTGGGGACAAACGTTGTGCAGCACATACTTGGTCCTAGGGGAGCTGTGGGCAGGCCCACAGTCCACATGGTCACAAGGGAAGTCAAGGGCTGGAGGACTGGAAGTTGGGCACTGAGGGCAGGGGAGGGTTGGGACGTTGTGAATTTGGGTTTGGATGTTGATTGAACCTGGTATCTCTAGCGCTCAAGTGGGGCCAGGCGTCATGACCTCTGAAATTGGGGACATGCCCTGGTTCTGTCTCTTTTCCTAGATCCTGGGGTGGGAGGGGGACAAAGGCGAAGTTGGGGGTCCCAGTCATCTGGAAGAGCTCCCGTGCTGGGACAGGAGGGGCGGCTCTTGGATGGCTGGGCTGTGGACTGGGCCCTCACAGCCCTCTCCACGGTGGGCTCAGTTTTGAGGTCACACTGAGCTGGGCGTGACACAGGGACCTGCAGGCAGTGCCAGGTCCGGAAGGAAGGAAGGAAGGAGGGGGGGAGGAAGGAAGAAAGGAGGGGGGGAGGAAGAAAGGGGAGAGGGGAGAGGGGAGAGGCGGCTGGTTGGAGTCATCTGGGCAGGATGCCGGCCGGGGACCCGGAGACCAGAGACCCTTGGAAGAGGGAACACCAGGCCCCAGCCGGGGCTCCTTCCAGCAGAGGAGCTGCCTTGGCTGACTCCTGGGGGGCTGGGACGCCTGTGGCGTGGGGTACAGGGGCGCTGAAGGAGGACCCCTCACGCGGGCGGGAGCCGCGGCAAGGCGC